ATTATAGTTATGAAATCTATATTATAGAAATTTTTTATCTCAAATATTCTCAATCAAATAATTTCATATGCATTGTTTAATATCATAATTTATTATTTTAAAAGACTCCATAAATTCAATAATTGTAGCCAATAACTATTATCGGTAATCATAGCCTTTAACTATTATAGGTTTCTATCATAGCTTTTAACTATTATAGATAAAAGCATTTCTTTGTTTACCATCACTTTTATTGCCCATTCAGTTATTATTAAACAGGGCTTATCGAGTATCAGCTTATCAGAGAAGAGCATATGATGGTTATTATTCCCAAATCAAGCAGTTTAATCATTCCTACACCTGACATTTTCTGATTATTGTTTTATAACATAAAAAAAAAAAAACAAAACTTATCTTTTAACCTCTACAATTATATTGTCTGCAAAACAACATATTATTCAAATCAAAAACTTTCACGACAATATTTTTTGGTGTCACGAACCTCGATATTAACAGTTTAATTAAAAGTATTCAACAACAGTAGAAAAATTCGATCGAAGAAGTGGATAAATTACCTTTGGATGCTATACAAAATTTATTAATAAAAGAAAAAGGAATCATGGTGGGTAACTAAACTGCAATAATTCGTAGGAGAGTTGGTGCAAATAAATGAAGTAGCTAGAAGTCAATCCTTCGGTAAGGAACGGAAACAGTATGCCAATAAGGAAGAGATTTCAATCTTACTTACAATAAAATAATCCAAATTAAGGTCATGAGTTAACCACACATTTAAAGAAAATAAGAATAAAGGGTTACTAAAGATAATAAGAATAAAAAGCGATGTGCATGCTGTGACATGAACCATTGGGGTCACGAGTGTCAGATTTATCCCACGATATCAAACAGCGATTGGAATATTTAAAATAAATTAAATCACGCCACGACAATTGTAATTGGGAGGAAAACATTTATGCTTTCACATTCCACTTCAAAAATCTACACAATACTGTGCACTGATGCAAAATATCGGATTAAATAAAGAAGAAACGATTTCAACAGTTATAACTAAATTCAGCAATTAAACTAACAAATCAACAGATTAGGAAGTTTCACTTTTAGATGAGCAGGATTAAAGCAATTAACTCAAATGTGTCGAAAATTTACGGTGAAGTTTTAGCATTATTTGTCATTTACTCACAATCATCTTTTATATCGAAGGAATTAGCACAACGATACAGGAAATTTTATTCATTAAAATAAAGAGATAAAGTAAGCAGACAGCAGAAAACTAGTACTAATTTGCTTATCAGACGTAAAATAAAAATCTTACAGGTAAGGAATAACAATAACAGCAAAACATGAAAGAAAAAGGTACTAAAAATTAAAGATGAATAATTAAATTGCAAGAAATCAGTTAACGAAATACAGAAATAATCTGCACTAAAATTGCACATTTATACATCAACAACTTATTTTACAACTGTATTCATAAGTTTTTATTTTAATATTTATTTTACAAGTTTATTTTACACATTTATTTTACAAGTGATCCATCATACAATTAGTAGTACAAAGATTGTCAATTTGATAAATATATGAATAGATAACGATTCAGAGAATTTTATTCATTGAAATGAAATAAAGAGATAAAGTAGATGAAGAGCAGAAAAATAGTACTAATTTGCTTGTCAGGAATAAAATAAAAAAACTTATAGATAGAAATAACAATAACGCAAAATATTAAAGAGTCTCACTATCTAAGAGTTTTCATGTGCACATTCAGATGGAAAATCCGGAAAAAACTTTTTCTGCATATCGAATGATTGTACGACTTCTTACCGGTATGAATCATCACATGGCTCTTCAAACTGATGATTGACAAAAACTTTTTTTGTATGCCGAACAATGGTAACAGCTTGTCACCGGTATGAGTCCTCTCATTTCTTCTCAATACCGTTCTTTTATCCGTTTTATTAATTGTTTGTCCTATTCATGCTTCCTAAAATTATATAAAACTATTCATTTCGTTCAACATTGAAAATTTTGAGATCTTCGAAATATTACAATATACTATGATTTACTTATTGTCGTTTGAGCAATGGATAAGAACAATAAATGATTGCAAAATAATATGAAATTGATTCGAGAACAATTTCCACCGAGAAATGGTAATACTTGAAATGACAGGAATTTGAAATTGAATACATCTTATGCATTCCAACAGTCCATGAGAGCTATAATCAAATAAACCATTCAACTTCATAACTTTCAAAAACATTTTGTTAGTTAAATGGAAATCATACTTTCACTCACAAGCAATCAATAATTACAACTATCTGTACAGTATCGGAATAATTCCGAACTATTATTTGATCCTCTTAACTCGGAAAATTCAAAGTTGAAAAAAAAGGAACTGTATTCAAAAATAGCAATATCGACTTATACATATGAGCTGTCAAATTCGTATGGCTCAGAGAAACTTTGTCTGTATGTCGAGCAATTTCCATGGCTTTTTACCGCTATGATCATCATATGTTTCTTTATATTCGATTACTGAGGGAAAATTTGTTCGTATGTCGAACAATTTGTACAGCTTTTTATTTATTCATTTTATCTAATGTTGAAAATTTGAAGTCTTTGAAATATTACTTTTCTCAACATTTAATGAACTTACTGTATAATTGGAAGTAGAAGAGGAAGAAATAGATGAAATATATAATGATCAATGTAATTTCTTGCCAATACTAAAAAAATAATCAAAATGACTAATACATTGAATTATTGTTTATAAGAAATCACATCGTTTGTTCATTGAAAGTAGCTTAAAAACGAAATTTCTTCTAAAAAAATGCATTTCAAAATATATTAGCATCGAAAAGAAAATCATTGCTAATACAATAAGGGCATTTTTCATTGACGGCAAATTTTATAGAACGATATTCTAATTTTATACGTTTATCGTATCTTTGCATTACGCTCAATTTTGAAGACAGACGAACATTCTTTACAGAAATAAATAAAATAGTGCTTGACGAATGAAATTTATAAAGGAAAGTGATCGCCCAATAATTTGTTTCCTAAAATTACATAGAATTATTCATTTCACTTAACGCTGAAAATTTGAAGTCTTCCAAATATTACAGCGTACTACTCTGATTTACTTATTATAGTATATTACAATGCATTCTGATTCTTATTGTTATTTGAGCGATGGATAAGAGCAATGTAATGATTGTAAAATAATATGAAACTAGTATATTGATTCCAGAATAATTTCTACCGAAAAATGGTAATACTTGAAGTGAAGGAATCTGAAATTGAATATATCTTCGAAAAATGATCGTCAAAATGCAAAAGAAATAGCAACCGCCTAAGAAAGTTACAATTTCTACATCGATGAAACGGAAAGCCAATTTTATCCATTTCAACAAACCATGCGAGCAATAATCAATCAAACCATTTTAACTCCGCAATCTTCAAAAACATTTTGTTAGTTAAAATGAAAATCATAGTTTCACTCATAAGCGATCAGTAATTACAACTGTTTGTGCAGTATCGCAATAATTTCGAATTGTCACCTGATCCCTTTAATTCGAAAAATTAAAAGTTAGAAACAAAAACAGGAGATTGCGTTCAGGATTATCGATTATATGAGCTATCTAAATTCGATGATTTTTTTAATTTTCCGATCAGGTGACGAATCATTTCGAGAAACTTGTGTCAAACAATTTGTACAGCTTTTTACCGCTATAAATCATCATATGTCTCTTCAAATTTGATTATTGAAATCGTAATTATAAATATTTATGCAGATGGAGTGATAAAAGACATGTATAAATGATATTACATGTAACAGTAATATAATAACAAATGATTGTTTAATCTTTCATATTGAATAATTTCATTTCAATACAATATATTGAATTGTGAAAAATAATTTATGCAGTGCATCTGTCAACATTTCATTTTATTTAGATTCAAATTTTCAAAATTAATTGTAATATTAGTGTGAGAGAAAAATTTGTTAAATTTCTTGTAATTTATATTATTTACTAAAATGCGTCTTTGAAAAATGTATCGTTGAAAAAAATTTTTCATGAAATGTGAAATATGCCATTACACTGAAATGTGAAATATGGATTTAAACTTTTATTTCATTTGCAATAACAAAAAAAGTGGTTTTCATCAAAACTTTTCTAACACAAAAATTAAAGAATTTAAATTGCAACAGAAAATAAATTATATTATTAGAAACTTTTTTTAAATCGCATGGCAAGAAGCCTTTCAGCTTTGTTTGACTCTAAATGATGAAAGAGATTAACGGTGATAGGTAGTGTTGCATAATACTAAACGTATCTAATATATTTAAATGACAGATAATAATAAGTGCTAATCTTTTCGTCGTCATTCACTTTTTAAGTATTATTAATGAAGGTTGTTTTATGTATCGCTTTTGGTGTTTGCAATTAAGTTGAAATATCAAAAAGTTGATCGTTACTAATTACTTCGTTTTTTGTTTTTTAAATAAGAGAAGAAATGAATAAAAATGATAACAATCTCGAAATACAACATTTCTATAGTTATAACTTAAAATAAAAGGTCTTACTTAATAATAAAATAAAAAATAAATTAATCAAAAAATGAAATTCGAAACTTTCATTTTCTTTCTGTACATATAATATCTATATATTACTGGAAGCAAATAATCATAAAGTTCTTTCAAATTTTGATGAAGAAAAATTTAATTCGAAATAAATATTTTTGCTAATTAAATCAATTAAAAAAAATTGATTCCAAAATTTTGAAAACAATTTGAAAATAAATCATTATTAATATTATTTCATTTATGATATGTGTATCATTAAGATCGAATGCACCTAATATTTACACACTTAAAATTTCCTTGATATTTTACTACAAATTTTGCTTATATATATATAATTACTAATTACAACATTTTTTATTTACCAAATTAGAAGAATATTTTCTTCCCAAAAAAAAAATTAGTAAATATGGAAATTTCAAATTCTTCTCATAAATTGTGGTTCATTATTGCGCTTTAGAATTGCTTCCACACGTGCACGATTAGCTTCAAATGAGGAATGAACGGATATATTATTTAAATTATTTCTGTCATCACTGATTTCTGCTACAGGTAACGATGTATGATCAATCAGTTGCAAATTAGCTGGTGGAATTTGATTATATCGTTGCAGTAAACGTCTGTAATTAAATTATTGAATGCAAATGCATTAAGACGCAAATTTACATTTTAAAATTTTAGCATCGATTTTTCAAAAATTTCACACTTTTATTCTTATAAAGAATATATTTTTTAACTAACTATCTTTCCTGATTTCGATTAAACGTATTTATAAACTTACTGTCTTTCCTGATTTCGATTAAACGTATTTATAAACTTACTGTCTTTCCTGATTTCGATTAAACGTATTCTCTTTACCACCACTTTCTAATTTCTGCTTTTGCCTGCAAATGCTAATTGTATAATTTATAAATGAAATTATTAAAATTATTACTATTTATTAATCAAACGTATTCTCTTTGCCATTCTGATTAATGATTAATATGTTGAAATTATTACAATTTTTTTTCATTTGTCAATTATGATAAATTTATCATTCGGATAATTCATGCTTATTCATTATTCCCCACAAAACTCATGATTAATACAATGAACTTATCATTTATTACTGATTTAATAAATATTTACTGTTTATTATTATCAATCAGTTTTAGAATATTTACTTTTTACCTTCTTTATAGCTATTCGAAGTTTTCGTTTTTAATTTTTAAAGAACATTTAGCATCTGACCTTTTGTAGAAGATAATATTTGCAACGGTCCAAATAATCGATGCTAAAGCGTATGCTGGAAGTGTAACTCCAACTATCCATAAGAATCGTTTGTGTATTTCATTTCTCTTCATCTAAATAATTTCTATAATTTAAAGAAATTATCAGTGCTATATCATTATTCCAGAATATTTTAACAAAATGATTTTTCCAACGTATCAGGAAAACTTTATGGAAGTTACTATAAATAGATTATCGGTAGATTATCTTTCACATAACTAATTTGTAATCATCTAATTTCAAGATGCAATAGAAATGATTAATACAATGAAATGTTATCACCTCATTTTCACGCAAAATATTGGTACGTTCTTTAATCATTTCCATTAATGAATTAAGCTTCTCACCTTTGAGGTCAAAGTATTCTGGTATGCGAAAATTTATCGCACTACTAAAAATGATTAATTTGAATAAAAAGAAATATTATGATTATTATATCATAAGTATTTGTGAATTAATTTTTTTTGAAATATAATTAAATCATAATATTAATTAAAAAGGTATCATTAAGATCGAATTTTTTCCTACGATTTATTCAAAATATTAAATAAAACAGAAATTTTTTTTGATGTTTTACAGAGAAACTCGTTAATTTTCCATTTAATTTCACATTTAATTAAACTTTGTTCGCTTTTAAATTATTAATAATTTTCAAAGATCTCAAACAATAACTGGCATAAATTAAGCAATCGAATATAACAAAAATAACTTATAAAAGGTCAGAAGTCATCTTTTTGTCACGGTAAATTAATCGAACATCAAATAAGAGTAGCAATTTGTGAATTAAAAAGCGAATAAATTATTTCGTATAAATTTGATAAATAAAATTTTAAATGTTTTCTCTTTTTCTAAACCATTTGTTTGATTTCTAAATGAATGATATTAATTATGAAAAGCTATTTTATCAGTATTTTCATTATTATATCAGTTAAAGGAAAAAATTTGATAATAAATATAAATAGTGGCAAATGAAATATAATTCAATTTCACCTTTGAAATTATCACTGACAATTTCTTGTTTGTTTACTAAAATTTATTATTTAATTTGCTAAAATAAAAAAGACAAAACTTTTTTTTGTTTTTTTGCTAAGCCTTTTTTCTCATTTTTAATTTGCTAAACATAATATTTAAAAAGTAGCGGCTTGAACACAAAGTGGTAATTAATAATTAAATATAATTGATAATAAACTGATGATAATTAGAAATAAATTAGATCATTATAAATTGATAATTAAACAAATTTATTGCTTCCTTTGTATTTAACAAAAAAAAAAGTTTTTTATAACTATAATGTAATCATAACAGCAATAATAATAATGACAAAATAATAATTACAATCATACGTACTTTTTATTATTCATTCCTAAATGAATTCGTCGTTCGATTTCGATCAATTTTGTTGCGACGCCATGAAGAATTTGCGATAAATAGATTGAAGCAATTATTAAATAGAATCGTGTTGTATTTTTCATCGTATCAATAATATCATTGTTATTTTATCTCTATATTTTAGCAAAATTTAAATTTCTTTTTGTTTTCCTTTTAATTTTATAACTTTTTTAAAAAATAAAATATAACATATGAAAAATATATGAATGAAAACAAAAAGGAAATAAAATGAAAAAGAGGTATGTATCACAGAAAAAGACAAATGAAAAGAAAATATATTTTCGTCAGTTCATATTACTGATTTAAAATTTCTCCTTTACAACTTTCATACATTTTGTTCAGATCGATAGAACTAGTTCTTTCTCATTTACGATATTAAATCAAAATCAATCGATCTTCTAACTATTCACCATAACTTTCCTGTTTCTTTTTTTTTCATTTCTTTATACTTCTTAACTAAATGAAAATCATTTCATTTGTTTGACTCATTCAAAATTGAAACTTTTTAATTTTGGTATCATAATTTCTATTACTAATTAATGAATTTCTTTTTTGTGTACAAAATTTTCATATATCAAATTAAAAATATAACTTTTCATCTGATCAAAATAATTTCTCTTAGTATTATTAAACTTTTTCAAATTTGAATAATGAAAAATAAAATGAAATGAAAATTATTATTTTTTTAAATATACGTTTATGTCAGAGCTGTAATTATCATTTTTATAATTAAAAAAAAAAATTTATTACATATGATAAATATGAAATTGTTATACAACAAATGATTACTTAATTATGCGATGAATTATAAGAGAACAGTTACACAATTATTGGATAGTGAATAGTGAAATATTGATAAGGAAACCGGTTTATCAAGCGTTCCAAAATTTCTGCATCAACTATACTGTTCTAATATGGAACGATGATAAAAGGAATGTTGATGAATATAAAAATTGGTAAAAGCAAAAAGTGAAAGGCCAAAAATATAATTATAAATTATAACCTTGAAAGAATAATTTCCGGTATGCAAAATATACACTTTTCTCTCTTTCCATTTTTTTCTTTTAAAAATATTTCCAATTGAATTGATAAAAATTTATAATGAAATATCAAAAATTTTGCCATATTTTTTTTATCACCTTATCATATTTTAATATCATTATTATCATATCAAACAATTATTGTTTGTTAAATTTTGTTCATAAATAAAATGAGTTGAATAATCGAAAGAAACGATATTGAGATATCATTCTTGTATTTATTTAAAACGAAAAAAAGAAATGATAAGTGATAGTCGCATTCGTATTTACTCGAATGAATTTTATCATTTTTTATTTTAAATATGATTAATGATAAGACTAGAAGAAAGAACTGTTCCTTTGATTGTTCTTATTTGATCAAAACTTATCATTATCATTTCAAATAATGAATTGCAAGTATGTTTGATGATTTTGGTTGGAAAAAAAAATTCGTAATTTTTAATCATTAATAATTAACTGCTCAGTAATATGAATAATGAGATTCTGTCTACCTTTTTAAATTTTCTTCAAAACTTAAAATTTACTTTTATTCAAATTTTAATAACTAAAACTTTCATCTTAAATATAACAAACATAACGGAACATATTAAGTTAAACTTCTAATTAAGCAATGATTTAAATTATTCAAAATCATATGAAAATTAATTTCGAAAAAATATGCAAAAAATTTTGAACAAATTGAATAATGCTTAATGACACACAACACATCGATAGTGAAAATCAATTCCCGTTCATTTAATTCACATTGTCAAAGATAACATTTCGTGAAAAATTCTCATAAATTCTAATGGTGCACTTTCAAATGGTATTTTATTATTTTTGAAGGTATAAATGAGCATAGCTCTTTCCTTCCACCTCTTTATATTATTGAATTGGAAGAGAAATTTATTTGGATGAAACAAAAAGAACCTTTTTAATTTTTAAGAAAAAGAAAATTAGGGAAAGGAAAAAATAAAAAGAATTATTTCATTTTAAAAATTCCTAAAATAACTTAAAATTCTATTACAACTAAAGGAATTAAAAATTAACGATAATTACATGGCGAAATTAAAATTATTGAAGATTTCTTCCTTATTGTTTAATTATAATTTTGGAATTACGCTAATTTTAAAATTTTCTCGTCAAAAATATATCTTTTTCAAAATTAATTAATAAACAAGATATGCTCAACAGAAAGAATAGAATTTATTCTTTTTTTTCTCTCTCTCTCTTTCTCTTTCTCTTTCTCTCTCTCTCTCTCTCCTATATCTCTGTTTTAATTTTATTCAAAATATTATAAAAGAAAGAATAAATTCTAATTTGTCTATTAATGATCGAAATAAAAAAGAATTAATAACCAGCCGTTGAAGAAATGTTCACAAAAATGAAATTAAAAAGTTTTATATCCATTAAATAAATTATTGTCGTCGATTTCATTCATACTTCTAATTCATATGCTCTTTAGTTTTTACTTTCATCATTAATATAGCTGTCCCTTATTTGTTATCAATTATCATTATCATCAATTACAAAAGATATGATAATAATTTGATTAAAAAAAAAATTTTATCCAATTAACTAATAAACATAAGAAATTTTAATAGCAAAATTAAAATAACTTTTTATCAATTGATAAAATAAGAAGAAGCTTATCAATTTCTTTATTTTTTTTTTTTGATATATTAAAGATTAAATAATTTTGTTTACTTATAAATTATTTTAAATTTCAGACAACAAGAAGAGATGATAATTTCATAAATAAATAATCTGACATTTATAAAGAAACATTTGTGAAGAAAGAAAAATATTAGTTCTTATAAAAGAATGAAAAAGCTTTTCGGTTAATTATAATAAATACTGCACGCTAACTATTCGTATTTATTTAAATGAGAATATTTCACTAATATTTCTGCAAAGATGAAAATTTCATGAATTCTTTTATTCTTTTCTAATACTTGTAATCAAAATTATAATAAACTTTTTTCATTTATTTCATAAAAGAATTGAATGAAAGGTAGATAATGTGATATGCCGGAGAATTTTTTGTTTCCATTTCAGGTGAAATATTAAAATCAATTCCCATTATAATAAATGTGCACAGAGAATGATGTTAATAAAAGAATTGAATGCAAGGTAGATAATGTGATATACCGGAGAATTTTTTGTTTCCATTTCAGGTGAAATATTAAAATCAATTCCCATTATAATATAATTATATACATACATAGGAAATGATTCAGATTAGATTTATCGTGAATTTTTCAGCCTTACATTAGCAATTGTCTACTATTTTTACAGGATAATACGCCCTCAAGTAAGACTGAAATGATAAAATGATTTAGTTTAAAAGAAAAAAGAAAAATAGCAAAATAAATTTCAACTAAGCAAATTTCACTACAAAAAAAATATTAATTGCAAGTTATTTATTAATTTGATTGTTTCAAATGGTATTATATAATTTATCTCATCCCATTTGACAGTCTATTATTAATTAAATTATTCATTATTCTTTTTTTTGTTTAAATTTAATCATTTAAGCTTGTTTGCTTATTTCTCTCCTTAACATATTCTGCTGACTTAACCTTAGCGCATAAGAACATTATCGAGTTATCGTAAAAAAAAGTGACATTAATTTCTCCTACAATTTTATCATCATTATTTGAGGATATTGTAATTTTGCAACTAAATTAAATCGTATAGGAAATTTTGGTTTTTATTAATTGTGCATTTTCCAATTGATATGATAATATTAATGCCATATGTAAAGATTAAAAATCATCGTTTTAATATTGAAGAGAGAAAAAGAAAGAAAGAAAGAAAGAAAAAAAGCTATTCCATTTTTAAAATTTCATATCAACCAATTCTTCTGATTGGACACTTTGGAAAAATAAAATGTTTGAAAAAAATTGAGGACAATTTAAAAAAAAATGGATGTCAGCTGAAATGATAAAATAAATGATTTCAAATGACAAAATAGGACAAAACGATGGTTTTGAACTAATTTTAGAATGAAATTTTTGTTTTACTCATCTGCACTTCTCTCCTATAATAATAAATATAGACGAAAACATGAAAATGAATCAGGAAATCCGATATCATCAATATGATTTATTCATAATATCATCCAAATGAAGCCATACGAAATTATTATTATAATAAATTAAAGAAAATATTATTTTGCAAAAAAACATTTTCATCATTTTTACGAAATTTATTAAATAAGATATAAAAGTAAACAATTGTAATTAAAATTAATTAATTGACAAAAAAATAATTAAAATTGAGAATTTTCAAAAAAGAAGTATTATCAAAATTTTCAATTCTAATATTTTCAGAAATTTTTTTTAATTTCTTAATAATTTCAATTTATTTCACAATATGATGAAAAATTTTTTATTTATAAAATCTTAACTAGAATTTATAATATATAATTTTCATTTTAATCAATATTATAATATATTTCAATCTAAGCATTAAATAGGCATTGATGAAACAGTTGAATTACAATCGATTACAGAGAAATTTGCAATATTAATTTGATTAAATTAAATATATTTTAGTAAGAGTTTTTGATTATATAAATGAATCGTTCATCCATCTATTCCAATTTAAATCTGATAATCAAAGAATGTAATAGAAAAAAATTTTAAGAAAATTAGAAGGTGAAATTTTGTTGTTGAAGATTTAATTTTTGAAATTCATCGTTTCATTAATATTTTCGAATTTTTGATGATATGCATTCCACTAACAAAAGAAGAAAATATGAACTATCATTCTTTACTTCTTTATTCAGCTAATTCTTGAAATTCAGTAGAAATTTGTAAAATTTTAATTAATTAGAAAGGTATAAAATTTGAAACAAAGGGAAAAAAGAAAAGATTATTGAAAAGTTTAAATTTGTTTACAAAATTTATTTTTCTGAAATAATGCAAAAAATCCGACATTTTATAGCATTTTGAAAAGTTTTGACACTAAATGTATTGCTTAATAATTTTTTCTGTAATATTAACTTAATTTATTAAATTTTCTTTTTAATTATCGAAATTAAAAAAAAAAGTTTATTTTTTAATTTTTAAAATTACCAAAATTCGTTAAACCTTTAAATGATTTTATCAGCAAAGTTTGTTAAGATATCATTATTCTAAAACAATTAAAAATTCGGAAATTTTCTTGAAAATATTAAATAAATTGCTTCATCATTATGTCACCACCCACAACACTTCACAGCCAAATATATCATTAAAGTTATTATTACTTATGAGAGTATGTTAAAAGAAACTTCCGACTCTTTTACTTAAAAACTTCCGGTTATCTCTGCTTTTACTGAAAAAAAGTTCCGGTTAATTCTCCTTCATCGAGGAAAAAAATCCATTCTTTTACTAAACCATGCTTCGTTTTTTTCTTTTCCTCTCCTCAGGTAAGTTCTTTATCAGATTATAATTTGCATGAACGAAATTCAAAGTTCTTTCACCTTTACAACATTAGAGTGATAATTTATTGTTTGATATTATTATTTATTTTCTTTACTGAAATATCATTAAGGTATGCAAAGTTATTTTGAAATTTTATTAATTAAATTTTAATGAAGTAAACATTAAAATTTTTATTGAAATAATTTAAGCTTTTTGAATATTTAGCGAAATATTTCATACCACATGGATAATAATAACAAAATTATGATACAAAGAGCCCCTCATTCTTCATATTTCCTACAAAAAAAGAAATAAAGGTAAGATGGAAAGATTTGGTAAATTTTGCCGTCGTATAATACTTAACATAAAAAAGGATATTATTTAAGGAAGCAGCTGGAAGAAATAATAAATATGATATCGAAATTAATTAAATATCAAATATTGGCGATAGAATTAGTGATTTTATTTATCAATTGGTCAATCGTTCTTTATATCACTTCGTTGATAATTCATAAATATCGATATTATCATTTCAATTATCTCTATTGGAAAATCGCTAAACAATTCCTCTTAACTATATATGTATAACTAGAAGAAATATTTTAAGATTGTTGAGTGCAGAAGTGTAACTGCGATAAATTTTATTGTCATATTTGATTTCAAAATATCATTCATTGCTACTGAAACTTTAGACTCTGTCAACAAGAATGATGAATCATATCTTGTTAACAATATATTAATTAAATAAAATTTCTCGTAGATATAACTATTATTCATCCCTATTTTTGCTTTTTGAAATATCAAACTTTTTCTTAAGGAATAGCATTGAATAGTATATTATTATACTGGAAATTATTTGTTAATTTGTTATGAAACATGGATGCATTTAAACTTTGATATGCGAAAAAAATAAATAATGAAATACAGAAACTCAACTGCTACTGATACTTTCAGGAGGATTTAGGGATATGGCAGAAGGCAAGATTCAAGGTATAATTGTTCTTCGGCAACCTATCATGTTGCAAATGACGAAGCCATCATCTGAAGAGCGAAAATTAAACGAATTGACATTAATGAAAACGGTTTCGTCTGATATGTTTTGTATCAAATACACTCATATCATGCTGTGAAATTATAGTGACGACATATGGCGGTACTGTTGTCATTGAGAAAGTGAATTTCAATCAAATAGAACAAAAGTTTATAAAATAATAAAATCTACTCCTAATCAAGCAAACTAAATCCTGCGATCCTAAAAAGATATCAGAAATTCAATAATTAACACTTAATTAGTCTTTAATTAACTTGAAGCTTGTTTGTTTTCAAATTTTATAATGTAATTGATTTTCTAATTGATTTCAATATATTAATATGCAAAAGTAAAATGTAAAATTTTCATTTCGAAATGAAGACTGCTTATCATCCGGTTGTTTTCACAGTTTTCTTTTGTTTTGCACGGTGAAATATTCTCGAACAAAATTTTCTGCTTAACGGAGAGTTTTGTATTAGCACAATCGAATTGTAGTAAAAGCTTGCTTATTTGATGGAGAATTTTATTCTTCTTCTTGACATTATAGTATAATTAATAGAAAAGAACTAGGTCAATCACTTGCTTGGTCTTGTTCACCGTTGAATTTAGTTTGGAACAACTTCGTTGAAGTATTGATTCAGGGAAATGTGAATGGCAAGTCCGTTTCATTTGAGAGTAATAAGTTACACTGACAAACGTTCCTTTGGAGTTCATTAAAATTTATATAGTTCATCATCAATTAGTTATTTTGTAGACGAACTAACTGTACCAGTCATTATGAGGTCAATTGTTATAAAAACTAATTGTAATAAAATTTTCTGTACATTTAGCAAAAGGTAAAATATAGCAAACAAGAGGTTATTGGATGTAAATCATTAACGGCATTCATTTGTAATATACAAACAATAGAATTGACAGTTGACAAAGAATTACTTGAACTCCAATAAATAAATCATTGGTATAACATATTAATTCTCTGCAGTATTTCGTAGAATATTTGAAACGAAATATTTCGATAATATAAGATAACACAAAGAAGAAGATAAATTGATTATTTAAGCAATTTTATGTTGTGAAATTGTTTTGATAGCTAATATAAATATTTTTAAATTATAATATACCCATTTTATAATTTAAATAATTTCATTGCAAAATTTTAAATTAATTATAGCTATTTGGATTATAAAAAGGATGACATTAAAGTAAAATGAAAAGAGTAAGAATATATTTTTGTATGATTTAAATAATTCGATAAAAGGAACAAATTCTATGCGATAAGCTAATTAGTTCAATTATTTTAAAAACTTTAATTAACAATACATCAAAGAATGTATTAAAATAATTTTAATCTTAACAAATTGTAAAATGCAGAAATGGTAGAATAGTTTTAAACAATTTATTTTAAACTAATTAAAATGAAAATAAAATAGAATAGTGGTACATTTTTTAACTGTCAAGAATAAAAAATGATAATTGTTTGGTGATTTAAGATTTTGAAGTAAGCGTAAAGTAAGCGTAAAGGAGAACTCAATAACTCAAATTACTAGGGAGGGATAATAGGAATTAATCTACAAACTTTCCAAATCTTCTTTTACTCCTATGATCAGAGAATCTTTTATCAGCTTTCAAAACTTCGTATCTGAAAATTATTAAAAACATTTTGCGTTGTAGTGGTAGCATTTGATATTTTATAATTATTTTAAATCAATGAATTATGACTTTACTCGTAATTTTATAGTGGAATTGAAAAGGCAGAAATAAGTGAGGAACAAAAAGAAGATTATAATCGTAAATTGAATAGCTATTATCGATGTATGGAAGGACGCCAGAAATATATCAGGCAAAAGGTAACACCAATTCAAGCGATTGTCGCATTACGGGATGCTGAATTGGAACTACAATGTTTCAGATGGTAATTGTTCGCTTGTTGATCGTTATGTTAATCGTTACGGTTACAGTAGCTAATAGTAAACTTCATGTGATAATTATTGTAATTTCATTTTTTCAAATTAACCTAAGATTTTTTAAAATGGACAAGATAAGAAATGTACAGTATCAGAATATCCTTTAGGAATGCTTATTTTTTTTTCAATCTAGCAAAATACAAACTGATTATCACTGTTCGATATGTATTGTGATGATTTTTTTCGTTATAGTTTAAGTCCGGAAGAGCAAACGGAAGTGGAAGAAATTTGGAAACCAAACGAATCATTTATAGGAAAAAAGATACGTCAGATTATTGATAAAGTAAAAGAGGTATAAATATAACATATCATAGAAAATATTAATTTTCTACATGAAAAAAATCATTTTCAAATTTTTATCAAAATGGAAAAACAAGAGAATTGGGAGTGTTAGGACTGTTATTTTTATTTTTACAGTTTATCTTATCAGAAGTTGAGCGTGAAGGAAAGCAAAATATTAATGAATGGGATTACAAATGGGAAAAGGCAAATTTTGAAGAAGGCACGAACGGTTGGTGGCGAAATATCGTTGACATTGATCCAACGCTTTCTGTAGCCGAAAAAACCATAAGTCTTATCAAAAAGTTTTAGTTTTATCAACTATTCATATTGATATAATTTAATAGGCTACTATCAGCAATGAATGACAGTGTTCCTACACTGCTACAGATTATAAGATAAATGTGATAACCTGACAATTGTATTAAAGGCATATACCTGAAATTAAAGATATACGTGGAATGCATAGTGAGATAATATGTTACTGTTGTAGTAGTTTAATTAGGTACAGCTTATTTTGGAGATAATTTTTATCTTCTGATTCTTGAAAATTTGAAAGAAATTATCGAAATTAACAAAGTTTCAGATTGAAATTTAAGTTTTCACATAAAATTTGAAAAAGAATTTTTTTTGGATAAGATTTTAGAGATGATTAATTAAATTATAGATTTTAATTTTTATATATTTTAATTATATATTTTAATTTACTAAGGTTTATGAAACGTCAACCAAATGAACCCAAACTTGGTGATCATTTTGAGCTTATACTACCAAAAGTAAGCCGAAAAGATATGGGTTGGTATCGTTGCATAAGACGTATAAATAAGACGGTGAATATAGCTAATATATATTACATCGATGTGGTCACCAATTCAACACCTGAAATTGTTAGCTTGCTAAAAACCAATTAACTTATTAGTAAAATTAAAATTTTGGAAATTGAAATTAACTGATTTTATATTCTAAGTCGAATTTATTTCAGGTGCAACATGAATTTTGACACTTGCAATCGATTTCATCGCTTAAATTGATTCATTATTTCAATTCATCATTTGTTTTCAGATAATAAATCGTTCCGTGACGAGTCAAATAAAAGCCATGCAGCACAAATTCACAGATCTGAAATTACAATCGAATGCATTCGTTACTCCATGGAGTGAATGCAGTAATTGCGATACAGAGAAAGGCGAAAAACGTCGTAAAATTGCTTGTCATTTATCGGTAACAAACATTTTACTAGCTTCACACATACTGGGCCATGTGAGAGGAATGATTTGATTGATTAATCTTTGACATACGAATGAATAATTATACCACAATTGATGAGATTGGGAAAAGTACAGATTGCTCCTGGCATATCGTACGATGCAATTGCAAATTCCACGATGTCATATATGCAACTCTTCTCCCACATTCCTTGTCGCAGTTCATTGATACCAATTCAAATACGACATATTTTATGGCCCATTCAGGATATCGTCCATGTTGAAAATTGTTATGTAATTAACCTTTGATCTTTGGGTAAATTAAAATAAAGAATAATATTCAACGAAAAAGAACAACTTATGATCATAATATGATTATGATCATAAGTTGTTCTTTTTTGCATAGATTAGTTGGCATATTGATATCATGAAGGAGTGTTGCAGAAAATGTTATTTTTTAGTTTTATGTAACTTAAGTTTAATCATTTATCTAACTCGCAAGATATGAAATCTTATAATGATTAATCTATACAGAAGTATTTCAGGTATCATGTACACGAGCAAAAATTGAGCAAACACGCCTAATTATGAGTAAAAATGAATTTGGCCGAAATGTTATTGTTGACAAAATTCCACCAGGTGAATATCAAATAAATGAACGATTACCGCCTCTTCGCAAAGCAGTAAAACGAGAAGCTATACAGGTCTCCTTACATAGTTGATAAATTAATTATATTTAATACAAACTGATTACAAATTTTATTCCAAAAAAGTGAAAACTTTCGAATTTTAGGTTTCAAGATAATGTAATTGAATTGTTTAGAACTTCGATAAATTAAAATCAAATTTGACAATAGAGATTTTCCAAAGCAGTTTAAACTCAATTTTGAACCTTTTCAATAAAATTTATTCTTTTCAAACTCTGTATTCCAATCTAAATATAATTCAATTATGCTAATTGCTGTTCCGAATTTTGCAAAGAATGCATTGCACTACTACAATTTTCTGAAAACATTTTTCAGGCTCTTGAGAACGATCCTTATATTTTATCTTGTCCACAAAAAGAATTTGGCATTTTTTGGGCATTAAATGAATCTTACATTTCATCTACTTTATTGTTGGCACAGTATCCTGATAAGAGGATTTATATCGATGGTGATAATCAGCTCATCATTAATTTTCTTAAATTAGATGATGACGAAAGTTTCTTTAGGTAAAGATAGAATTTCGAGAAATCAATGGAAAAACAAGCCCAAACTTGGCTATTACATCAAATTCATATCATCCAAAAATTTCTCCAAGTAGCCTTAAAGCACAATCGATCAGTCCAAATAATACTAATGTCAAATTAATTAGATACTTTTTGCATACCTAATTTTAATAACCTGCAAAAAAAATAATCTTCATAATAGATCCTCGTCATTTTTTGCTTTTTTTGCAGCTGTCACCGAGCATATGACGGCGATGTACTAAGAACATTTAGTCTCATTGTCAATAAAGGCAAACAACGCCAGGAAATTGTTGAATATATTAATTTTGGTATCAGGCCTGTATATAATTCAATTTGTTGCAATGACTTTTTTTTAATTTTAAATTTTCCAACAAAATTTCTACGACTAAGATCAAAATTATATTTCCGTGGTTAATAATATTATTTTCATTCTATTTCATCTAATACTATCATAAATGATATTCTTTAATATTTCAGTATCATAATGAATGTTATCATATTCATAGGTAATATATTTAGTCTTCGCAATTCTAAATTTTTTCATTTCTTATTCAAATTTTTCAGATATGGTGCATTTTTACTCATACTATTAATGGTACTATCGATTACTTTGAATGTAAGTGTTCAATCAGAAAAATATCGACGTGAAGTTGCAATCAAGCACACATCAATAAACAGATACGAACAGAAGATATAAACTTTAAGTAATAGCGATGAAATTATGATTGAAATTTTAAATTTCATTCATTTCTTATAAAACAGAACTAAAACACCATAATAGCGTATTCCAAAATTCCATTTCTCAATCGTAAATCAAGAAATAAAAGTTCAATAATCGGATCAATTAATCCGGTAATGAATAAAATTGAAATATGTGGTAACTGGCGTGATAAAATCCGCACACCGATATTTCTTTTCAGCAACTACATTTGTTTTTACAAGTACAGAAAGAAATGAATAGTGCATTCTGTAGTTTAAGCGATTCTAAACGTAAATTTTATGATATGATGCAGAAGTATACTTTAGGATGAATCTCGAGGTACTTGTATATTAAACAAAAATATTGTTGGTCTGTGGAAATTTATATAGCAAAATTGATGGTATAAAGAAATAAGAATTGTGTTCATTATCTCGAAATTATTATTCTTCTTTCATTTGATTACCATCGATTGATTGCTTTCTCATAAGATATTGTTTTACATGTCGTACACCACTTGTAAGCTTCATAGTGCAAAGTGTAACTGTTGAATCGTTTGCACGTACTAGCAAATGAAGCGGTTCTGATAAATGCTCCCAACCTGCATAATTCTTCAGACGAGATTCTAAGCGATGATCCTGAAAATCACATATATTTTACTCCTTAATATTTGCATATAAAGTTGTTGTTGTTGAATTTAATCAAGTTTTAAATTAAATTGCAAATCATATTCAAGTAATCCTAATTAGATATTACAGTGATATAATTCTGATAAGAAAGCTAACGGAAAGATATAAGGAATAGTTCCATTTATCAATTATCCCTGAAACAAGACACTAAACCAAGGAATGGCCAAATGATAACAAATTTCTTCTTTTCTCATCATTTACTGTAATTCTGACTTTGATAAGAAAAAAAAAATCTTGACCTCAAGGAATTAACTAACTTCTAATTATTACTTACCAATAGCGATCCTTTTCCACGTATCAGAATTTGACAGTTTGTTTCATTTTCTAAGCGTTTTAATAAAGCACAGTGCAAGTCCTTTGTTTTTCGTAGGTAATCAGCACTTTGCTCTTCTGATAATTCAATCTTTTCTTGCAACATTACATTGGCTTCCTCCAATGTTTGTGATTGCCATTCCTGCAATATTACTATTATAATTTACAGCAAAATTGAAAATATATAGTTTAGTTTTTATTTTTGATCAAATAAATTTAATCTAATTTAACGTACGTTAATAAAAGAAGCGAAAATTTTCCAAACATTTAGTCATAGTTGTTAAAAAGAAATGTAAATCGTAGAATTAAGCATAATATAAAAATGAAAATTAGAGGAATTGAAATTATCTTTGTTTATTTACATAATATTATGATTGATTTATGCCTTACTCAGAATTAAGATGAAACCTATTTAACCTAAAAACAATGAACTGTACTAAAAATTGACGATGGATCGATAAAGAAAGCATATGGAAAACGAATAATTCAAACAAGAATAGTTAGCAAATGTAATATCCCAGTGATAATTCATTTCATTCAGTTTTATAAAAAACATTTAGAGAAGAACATTTTCGAAGGAATTCATCTGTTCATCGAATTGTTTGTTGCACAATAAATTCCACACTCTGTTTAATTCAGCAGTAAGCAGAATATGTACATGCAACAATAATCTTGGATATTCTGTTTCAATTTCATTCAATTCTTGCAATTCCATAATAAGTTCGTCCAAGTATCTCAAATTCATTAAAAATTGGTATTGAATGATAAGAGCATCCATTTATTTTTCTATTTCTCTTAATATAAGTTATTTTTACAAAACATAAAATTCAGTAATGCTTATTCATTATAGGATGATTTGTATGATTGAGGAAATGAAATGATAGGGTACTGTGCAGCATCAGTTTGTTCGGAAGATTTCGGACGATTTAGCAGTCGATAAAAGCAATTGTTAGAGAAACAGTCAATTTCTCTGATATCTTCGTCGCTGGAATCTTCAACCAGCCAGAATGAATCCATTCAACCATACACTAAATTGTTTATTAATACAATGAAAGATTATTTACATTCAATTAATTTATAAATTTATGCAAACATTTTAGCCTTTTTTTAAAATGAGCAATTAAAGTCAAAATAGTTTGACTTTTACAACGAAAGTTTGAAGTACGGTACTTTCCGTATGGATCTATTTATCAACGATTTTTCTCTATTACCAATAATGACATAATAAGTCGAAGTGATGTGGTAGGTAGTATGAGAGAGACATAAGATTGATAAGATTTTGGGTAATAACAGTAATATGTAGTATGAAAACTTGAGATACGCAATGATAGTAAAAATTAAGAGTGTGAAGGTAGGAATTGAGATATGTGGCAGTGATTGAAGAAATATATGAAATAGTACTAGCAACTAATTAATAGATAGATTGATAGATAGCTAATAGAGGTTTGTTCTCTATTACATTGGATGATAAGAAATCAGAATTTTCACCCATTTTCACATTGCGTGATTAGTTACTTTGAGAAAATGCATAATAAGAATGTAAATTACGTAAAAACATCCAGAATATTATTATTATATAGATAGGAGATGTTAACATAGAAAATGATGAATAAGAAGTTGCATGAAGTAATAAGTAAAGAAGTATTTCACTGCTAGAATTCTTAATGGATGATCGTTGGTAACATCAAGGAATATATTTTTTTTTTCAGCGCTCATTTTCTGTTCATTTGATGGCATTGATTATGGTTATAAAAAACCGGATACCGATTTCAGCTGAAAAAAGCAATATATCAATTATGGCTAACGGAAAAAAATCCGGCATATGATTGGAAAGAACCGGTTATCATCGTCTGGAAAAGGTGTGATCTTCGATGGAAAAAATAAGATTGACGTAAATGTTGTGGAACAAGAAAGAACAAGGAAAGAAATATCCGCAGACAGTTCGTTGAAAAGGTTTGATCACGTTTTGCACTTTCTTTGCGCTGACCGATTTTTTCATATTTACAGGTAAAGATTAACAAATTAGATTGAATCGATTCCCACTAAATTTAGTGATTAACATTTCCACTGTAATGATTATTTTTCTAATTTCTGATAATTTTGACAATGCCTGGTGGTATTATTTCAGTTAAGGAGTTAAATTAGTAATATTTTTATTTGCAGCTTTCCCAATTTTTCTATATCATCAGATTTTTCGATAGAAAAAGGAAAATTAAGGATGTCGTCGATTGCAATCGCGGAGAAAGATGACCCAAGGAAATTCCGAATTTATCGCCCATTAAATTGTGAACAGTCAGGATCGGTGATATATTATCGGTGTTCAAAGTGCGAATCACTGGAAAAGAAAGGTTTGGAGTTAAATTCTCTGTAAATCCTAAAATAAAACAAAGAACTGAAGGTGCCATTAATAAGAGCAAAGGCTTAATGCAGAAATTATTTTTGTTTACCAGTTCTTAATCTTATTATCCAGGTATCTTCATTACCTTAATTGATTATCAATGTTGTTTGTCTCGTCTTCAACATCAATTACAGGTGGTGTCAGATCGAAGCGTTACAAACCATGTGTAAAAACATTGCACGGGAAGCTAGTTGGAAACGCACATCCAGAGCATCATCCCGGCTGTCATGCAGTAACTAAAGAAATTCGAGAACTGCAAGAAATGGACCGCGCTTGTCGATCGAAGATTAAAGCCAGTCATCTGTCACTCAGAGCTTCGCAGAAACTCGTTAGCTGTTCCACCTTCCATTTGAATCTGTTTGGTTCTATACCATTACATATTTTCTACGCTATTTCCAGTCAAAAATCTGTATTGATAGAAATTTTTAGTAACGGCTAATAAGAAACAAAGTCATATGCAATGCCAAATTATATTTGAAAAGATCGAGAAGTTTTTCTTCTACTTTGCAGGGTTAACAAGAAAAGCACAACTTGCATAAGCTAAGCTTTTCTATTATATCATTTTGTCAGTAAACATTCTCCTTAATAGTTTGTTGAAGTTTTCTTTTATTCCTCTCTTCGTCTGTTCTGATTTTACTGTGTCGCAAACTTATTGAAAGCATGCATTAATATTTTTACGCACTAATATTTTTTCTTTGCTCATATATTTCATGAAAGCCTTGAATTTCGATGTAACAGCAGTTTTTTATTTTTTTGATGAAAAGTTTAACAATTGTTTATAATTTAGTATTCTCAACTGACTTATTTATTTAGGAGGAATATGTAGAAGAGAGCTCAAACATCAATGTACAGTCCAACTGCAATTTGCGTAAGAGACCGAAGCGATTAAGTATTAAATTCGATGCTCGTAGTCATGACATAAATGAAAGTGAGCTGTCAGAGGTTGACCATTTATTGAGGCAAGTTCTGAAGAAATGGAATTCAAGTTAAATGCTTTTGCTTCTTTAAAATTCGGCTGAATATCTTTCTAGTTTTGAACTGGAAGAAAGTGTTAATTTGTATGATTGTTTATTTAGGTTTATATGCAAAGCTTGTATCAGTGATACTGCAGAAACAACAAATCACCCAAGGTAAGTATATCAATTGCAATATTTCAGTATATTGGATGGTAAGTATATCAAATGCAACAATTTCAATATATTGGATGTGTATTCTGATACATTCCTGTCTCTTATGAAAAATTCCATAACTTCCTAGTTTCTTTTCTATCACTTTTTCCAAATTTCAGAATTTATTCTGCTGGTACTTCATTGTCCAACAGTACTGGTTATTCTTCGCTGATTGTACCAGAACCCGGTGGAATGTTCGTACGAATTTATGTTGGGGATAGCAAACTAGCTAATCAGGAGGTGTCTTGCTATCACTGTCCCCGATGTGATGATTTGTATCAAAAAACAGATAACGGTATGTACCAGAAAGTTATTTGCATATGTTTAATAAGTCATTTAAATTTCTGGAAATGGCTTACTGATTGTTTCCACCGTTTAAAAAAGGCTCAGATGTTTAGATCTTTCATAATTTCACGCTTTTCAGAGTCCGTGCGAACTGTACTGAAAGCAGAAAATGATTTAATAGTTGATTATCCTACGCATCATGCAGAATGTTCGCCAACATCATTGGAATCACTAAGAGAGCTGGGCGGCGATTTAAAGAATTTCTGTATCGTAGCAAATCATAAGATTATTTCTCTGAAAGCACTACTTGTCCGTGTCGTTTGTGTTTATGTATCATTATATTTATGCACTGAAAATTTAGGTTAAGAATATCATTTCATGATAACAGGGTTATAACTATGACTTTAGAACTGTGGGAAAGCAAAGATGTTAGAATTTTCCATTTAAGTTGAACGAACAGATCCGCATGTTTTAATATGGGTTATATTACCTTTATGGCACACGGTATTTTGATTATACCAAGTTTTATAAGTTATGGAAAAATAAGAATTTAATTTAGAAGGATTTATGAATTAAAGCTGAAATAAGAATTTAATTCATCTGCCAGATTAGAAAAGTTTTTTCAGGAATCTGAATACAATATTTTTCATGAGCTTGATGAAAGCTTCATTACTGGTGAATCGATTGAACAGAACTGGGATACAGCAGCTATGGATGAGGGAATGTTAGTGCTAGTAAATATTTAACTCCTTTTCATATATACAGAATTTTTCAATATAATTGAAATTGTTTCAAATATTTTAGTTTGTAAAGGGGCTGTTCTGTATGTGAAATATTTTCTCTCCGTCGTGGTATAGTCACTTGTAATATCTTTTATTTTTTCCATTTCAGTCTCATCAATTCTACAGCAATTTCGAGACCTCAGGAACAACGATGTTTTTGCAGACGTCTTTATGAAGAAAATATGGAGTTATATCAGGAAATGTTGCGGAGTGTAGACGAAATGAGATCACTAATCAGCGAAATGAAACGTATTTCTGGTGCAAATGCTGAATATTATATCGAAGATGACCAAATTTTGGGGGGAGGTGATGATAGTACACTCTACATTGTAGATGAGTAATTTATTTTTGTTTTACAGTTTTTACAGATTATTTGTAAGGGTACACTACCAGGCATTATGCTTTGAACGCTTAACAGCGGAGCTGCTCATGCATTAAGGTTTGGCGCCAAATCGATTGCTCATGTGGTTACCGTTATCATGCCAGTTTTCAGAGGAGAACAATGTCATCGTTTACATTGTCCGTTTTTTTATAAGTCTATACATTTCTAATGAGAGAAAGTTGAATTTGCTATTATTTATAAGCTAATAAAAATGTTCGAAGAATTGTGGAAAAGAAGTTGTATGATCTATTAATGCCTATCGATGCTTTACAGTCGTTGCACAATGCATAATTTTTGTTTATCTTTGTAATGTATTTTGTTTATCAATAATTAAATGGTGAGTGTTAGATTTGGAAAAAGACAACTTAGATTATTTTTTTCTAAAGATATTGGTCTTTTTCGACATTATCAGTGTTAAATTTCTTGTTTGTTTTCATTGTTAGCCAAGCAAACTTACCGAAATCATTCCATTATAGCTTCCCACAACTCGCAAATGTTTAAAAAATCCACTTTATTATTATTTATAAACCAAAGAATTAATAAATCTGCTGATACGGAATTTAATTACTTTAATTAGAATTTAATTAGAAGAAGCATGAAAATGTTATGTTTTGACATGTCAGCATCTGACGGATTTTGTGAGAATGCCAAATGTTTGAATGGCTGATATGGGAGATCTCCTTCAAGGGATCCATGTTTGTTTATCTTCAATTATTTTATCAAATGACGATGAGAAGTCTTGATGACATGGGCATACTTTTTTCTTTGTCACAATTGTTTGTTCCATGTGTCTGTCAGGTTATTCAAATAAAATTTCTGATGTTTGACGAAAGTGAGCGATATCGAAATGTTTTATGCATAACTTGCTTATTTGGAAAATTGGTCAGGCGCCGTGTTTTCATAAATGAATCGAACATATAGTTTGTATTTTTCATATTTGGTACGTTGGAGCAGTATAAAATAGACCGAATCTAGTACTGCGCACAGTTGGAAAGGTATGTCGATTGCCTCGAAAAAAAGGTTATTTTCATTTTCTTTAATATTTTTCCTCAGACCAATGACTGTTCGGTATTTTGAAGGAGCAGATGATAACGACTTTATTTTAAGTGTACTCTTCTATCGCTATATTAGCTCTAACTTATTTAAATATTAGGAAAAAAATGTGGTATAAAACATAAGTTCTTTTGTATAGGTTCGTTTTTCTTTAAGAGCCTTTCAATTTCGAATTTTATTTCAACTTTTACTTATTGTTCAGGAATATTAATTCTTCATTGGCTGAACAGCCTTCCGAACAATTTGATGATAACGAGGAAATGCCCTCAAATATTTTTCTGTCGGAACAAGGTACATCGAAACAAGTAAGGGATTTATTGGTCATTAAGAGCTCTTTTAAGAATTAGCAAAATCTTTCAACCATTTTACAAATGTATTTTAACATCTATTCAACAAGTTATTTTATCTACTAAAACGTTTTCAGCATTTAGTGACATTTCTTTGGTTATGGTTTTTTCTGCAGCCACTGCTCCTCTTTCTGCTTAAGAACATTTTCCTTCCTTAAGGATATTCAAAGAAAATTTGCTTTCCAAGTTTCACCTAGCAGTGTGTTGTGTTAAATGTGCAATTATATTGATTCTTTTCAAATATTTTCATTAATCTAGTAGTGAATACAGGCTACATAAGCCACGATACAGCAGATTAAAAAATTGCTTTACAATTATGTTATTACTTTGAAGCACTAATCAAAATAAGAAAGTTGTATATAATTAATAGAGGTTAAAAAATTCTTTTCAGGATGACGAAGTGAGCATCAACTGCAATAATACATCGAGTAGTCCATCTGTGATGCCTTTGAGCCGTAAACGAAATCGACGTATTTGGACTCTTGTCAGTGGAGATGGTCACGATTTTAGATGCAATGCATGCAAGAGAATTATCAAATGCTGTTCACCTACAAATATAACTCGACACTATGCAAACAATCATCCTGAAATACTGAAAACAGAGGAAGTATCAGTAGATATGCCGAAGGAATCGACTGAACCTGTTTTAGAGGTACATTTTCTTTACTCGTAATACAAGGTCAGATGTGTTATTTTTTGATTTTTTGCATTTATTTTACCCATATATACGAAGCAAAAGTTTTTTCCAAAAGTGGAAAGAAAACTGTTATAGAAAAGGACGAAGTTGAATGTGACGTAACATACGTTAAAAGACTTATTTAAAGAACCAAATAAATATTAGTAAAAAAAATATTAGCAAATATTATAGAATAAAATAAATGCACATTTTCTCCTAAAATCAACGCTACAATAGGAACGTTGAAGTCATTTGCCGCTGAGTATTTGAGTTTTTCATGAAGTTACCAGAGAACAAATAATCTCGGCTTATAATTTCATAGCGTAGATAAACTTTTCTGTTTCAGTAGTGAACTTTGAACATTCCGAGGAATTTTGTTTATTTCAATGAATTAAAAGGTACCACTCGAACTGATCTGGATGTATTAAATTGTCATAAAGATCATCTGGCATGGATTAAATCTGAGTTACTTGAGATCTGTCAGAAAATTAGAATAAAAGATTAAACGTACGCCAGTATGAATTACAAAATTCATTTCTCTAACCGTGAGAAAAGTGTCCGGAATATATTCTTATTTTCAGGGAAATTCCAAAGATAGAATGTTGACTGCAAATGAAATGCCGCTATCTGGTGGCATCAGAACGAAGTAAGTTGACGTTTCAACGTCGATTATTATTTATGACTTTATTTTGTTATTTTTATGCTAGCTTTCGAAAGTTCCATTATCACAGTCCATTAAATTGTAATTGATAAACTTGGCTAGGAATGGGAGAAAGCTGACGTACCTTAACTATTTTCATGAAAATAGTTAAGTTTTTTTGGCTTGCTGCCGGAGTACTGCTTTTTAGGTATGAGGAAAGCAATTATTAGTTTTGATTACTTTCCTTTGTAATTTCCCTTCCACAGTTTTAATTATTCAAGTTCAAGTGACATTCAAAATCTGCTCAAATTTGAAGCGGACTATAAACGCAATATATTGAATGTAGTGTGTAAATACTGTTTCCTTCTCTCTCTCCAATTCTGTTACTAATACAACGGCAAATTTAGTTCTAGAAAAAATTAGACACAGATTTTTTGAGTTTTCCGTCATTAATGTGCGTATACAAATCGATTTATTCTAAGAGTCCAACTATGCAAGTTTTTTTGAAGTGCATCAAAATATCGATGATTCATTCATTCATTCATATAAATGTGAGGTTATTTATAGTACTACCAAAATAGATTGGTCTTCGCCATCTATACGGAAGATTTTGGAAAAGATTGCATCTAGGGAGTTAACGGAGAAAATGGGAACAGATATGATCGCGTATAAAACTGGATGTCAACTGTCACAGTCAACAGTTCGGAAACGAGTCCACTGTTTGCTCGAAGAGAGAGTAAGTTTGATATTTTATTACTATGAATTTTTATGATTCTTCATTGCACAGCTTTATTACTAATTTTTGTAAACTTCGCATTTTTTCTTACAATTGCAGCGTTTGTGTTACATGTTTTATCTGTCGCTGAAGGAAAACGAAAAAAGATTCTCATTCCATAGGATACATAGCGACAATACAGGGAAATATGAAATAAAGCCTAACTTTTTTCTTTGTATTCAAGATTTCTTTGTACTCGTCTTTTTTAATATCAATTTCAGTATGGTGCATATTCATTATCACAAAAAAATAGCGCAGCAGTGGCGCAATCTTTGCAAGTGAACGATGAAAAAAATGAAACAGTTACATATGTAGGTATGGACAGTGCAAGTGGTGAGACGAAAAAGTTCGTTAAATTAGAAGATAAGAAAAATCAAGAACAATTATCCGATGGGTAAGTTATAACCTAAAAATATTGACGGAAAGCTATTAATGATTAAATTTTAATACTAATACTTGTAGAACCATGAATACATCTCCTGTACCGCCAATACCACGACAAGTTCGTTCTCTACGACTGAGTCGCTCGTCGATAGTAATTCCGGAAAAGGATGATCCATCAAAAGTAAGAATATATCGGTGTAGTGCTTACGGGCGAGGTAAGCAGGGTGCAACATGCTACTATCGATGCTCCAAATGTGACTCCCTTGCGAACAACAAATTGAAAAATTCCGGTATTTTTTCCTTTCTTACCGACTAGCTTTTCAGGTTTTAAGCCTATTCGGTTCGACGAATGCTATCTATGAAATAAATATTTTCTTTTTATACAGGTACATCAACAAATGAGCGTACGAAACGTTATTTTGCTCATATTAAGACGAAGGATGGGCGAATAATCGGAAATGCTTATCCAGAACATTTGCCGGAATGCAAACCAGTACCAAAGGAAGTTCAACAGCTTCAGGAAATTGATCGCGCCTGTCGAGCGAGGATTCAGGCTGGTAATTTAACACCTGAAGCAGCAAGGAAGCTAGTTAGTTTTTTTTAGTTTTCATTAATTCCGCACTTTGAAATAAGAACTGTTAGATGACATTTGTATTTTTTTGTATATTTAGGGGGCTTTGGTAGCACAGAAGAACCGTGAGCTGAAAAGGCATATCCAGGATGATGATACTTTTCCGGATAAATGGAAATCACTTCCTAAAAAATACAGTCGATTGTGTCATCAAGCCGAAAGAATGAGAAAGCAAAAGAATCGGCAGCTTTTAAGGTTTGATTAATTTTTGGAGTTTTTATGTATAATGAGAAGCTCTCTATCTAGCCCACAAGTGGATCATTTAAAAACTATATGTCATCTCGCGTTTTCTGTGTTGACCGTTGTTTAAAGTTTGAAGAATATGGCTTGAACAATAACAGCATTTCGCATTTCAGTACGCTACGATATACGTTTTTGTGTGCAAAGTTTCTTCTCTTTTTATGGTTTTTAATAGTAAGTGAGATCCTAAGGACAGTAGTAACTGTGTTGAATCACCAATGCAAATCAATAAGTTTTTCTTACAATATACAAATACTTGAAATAATGGTGCATCTTCTCTTAGTTCATAAAGTGTATTTCTTCAGAATGATGAACAATGAACAAGGTGATGGTGAAACCGAAGAAGATCATAGGTTTGTTTTCCCTATCCGCTGAGAAGCTTGACTATCCAAATTAAGCAATGCTATATTCATCAATAAAAGCACATGTTTGATATCAAAATATGGTTGATATCGGAGAGTTTCTCAGTGCTACATGTATGTGAGAGAAAGGGTTTCGGATTATGAAAATAAGCGATTTCATAAAATTATAGCGGTATTGCACATGAAGCAGAAATTATGAGTGGACGTTTCAAGCATCCACCGTTGATCATTTTTGAACCAGATGGTCAGGCGGCACGAATTTATCGTATAAATGGAAAGTCAGATAAGCTCGGTATCATCTATTACCGATGTTCAAAATGTGATGTTCTTTGTCGAAGACACAGAAGGATGGGAAATGTAGAAGGTTCGGTTATTAAACTTGGCTTTCACATATATTTTTGTGAATAGATCTTTATCGCTCCATATTAATCGTTTGAAGAACCGGTGAATCGTATATATTTCTAAATATTTAATTGCCTATCTTAATTTGCCCTTTGCCCTTGAATGCTATTTCCCTTTAATTTGCCCTTTAATTTACTCTTGAATGTTATTTCTAGTTTCCTTGATCTCGGTTGTTTTCATCGCTTAATGTTAAAACCGGATACCCATGTTACCAAGTTTTGTCTTACATTTATCAAAAGATTGAGTTGTGATTCAAAACAGCCATATTTAGAAAGTTATATCAAAATGCAGAGATTTTAATGTTGTAATTATTACATATATACCTCTACTTGAGCGAAATAAATCTAAAAGCTAAGTTTTACATAGGGATGACTCGAGCAACGGTAAAGGTGGAAGAGGATGAAATTCTCGAGAATATGTATCCTGCACATCACGAAGAATGCGAAGTTTTTACGCTTGATATGGTTAAAAATTTGGCGGAAAATCTTGATCGCTTCTATTTTGCTAAAGATTATGAATCCATCATCCATGATTCTGCTAAAACGGTTTTTTTTTTTTGATTTTTTTAACGTGCAAATTAACGTAGTTAAATGATTTCTATTAGATAACTGGATTTCTATTATAAATATTTATCGTATTATTAGATTACTGGATTTCTATTTCTAGACCTCAAATATACGATTAATAAAAGATTTATATATGAGGTGTTCGAAGTTTCTCACTAATTATCTCTGAACTTTTTTATTATCATTAACGGTTCCAGAGTGAGAAGTTTCCGCTACAAAAGGTCAAAATTTTCAGGATCTCAGGTTTGCTGATGGTACATTAATCTCAAAAAATCAAATACCTATTGTTAGTCATTCCGCAGTTGAACATGTCGTTGAAGATGACGTCGTAGTGGACATTAGTAATGTTGCTAATACTGAAGAAGTTGATGATGGTACATGGGAAACAATTCTGAATCAAGATGTACTAAACGTTAGGTAAAAGCACTTGCTTATTTTTGATTTCAAGTTTTTTGTAACTTATAGTTTTTTATTCTTCTATGTCCACGTTCTGTTAAATAGATTGATTTGGCATCGGAACGGGTAAAAAAACTACATTTAGGACAGTTATGAGCAATTCTGAATCAGAATGTATTGAATGTTAGGTAAAAGCATTTCACGTGTGGGGGAGAGATAAAAGCATAGTTGTTAGATAAAAGCACTTTTCTTCACTACATATGATTCTCACGCGTTTTTTTATAGGTTTTTACATGATGTTTCAAATTTTGCAGAGCGGAAGATCATGAGGAGCATATAAATGCCACATGCCAACGCTATTATGAAGCAAACATCGCATTGCGCCGCGACATGATGCGTTGTCTGGAAGAGATGAGAACACTGCGAACAGAAATGAGAAATATGTTAGAAGAAGGAAAATTGCAGTATGTGGAAGTAGATGATGATCATTACGAAGAAATTATTGTTGATGAAAATGACTGATAAGAAAATGATATCTCTGAAATGCATTATATTTAAAAGCCTTGTTTAATACAGGATCAATATCCTTTTTTCTGTTTTGTTCCTAACTTCAGATTTCTGAATTTGTGTACTTTTCACGCTTCAGATTGTTTGAAAAATGGCACTAGTTATGTATTAGATATAAAGCGAAATTCTATGCTACTGATGTATTTTCATTTTCTATTTATATACAATCGCAATTTTTACTTTATACTGATACCATGTAATATAAAATAAATTCAATAAAATCGACTGCCAAGATAAATTTATATATATCAAACTTACCCAGTTTAAAATAGGGGAAAGAGGGAAAGGCAACAATTTTTTTGCAGTTATTAGCGTACTAATTTTCAAGTAGAAAGTTGTAGGATCATAAAACATGGTGTCAGTAAAGTGTTAAATTTCAGAGCAACAAAATCAGTAAGAAATAAGCTGTCATGAGGCATTCGGGTTGTTCGGTTGTTCAGTGGGAGAATTTCTTGATGGTGATACAGCAATACATATATATATATATTATTTACGTAAAAATGATATCGCTTTCCTTATTGTATCAAAATCTGTGGAGCAGTATTGTCGCATTTCGTATTTTAATATTTCCTTTTTCTTTCATTTAGAAAAATTTCCTTGAAATAAAAACAAAAGGAGTAAACGAAATTAATTGTACTATTTAGTTAAATGATATTATTAAGATAAGATAAAATGGAAAATTTTATTTGAACAATGACATCATGTGGTGATTGATTTTTAATTTGTAATTGTAAAACATTTTCAGCATATATCATTATGAGTTTGGGATGTTGATATACTTTGCATGAGATAGTTTCATTTTTGCAAAAGAAAAGCGAAATAATGAAACCAATAATGTGTAATCATTTCTAAATATATGTGATATACTTAGAAATAACGCTATGTTAATTTAAGTTCATTTAATTTGAATTGATTTTGATTACTTTAAAGTATTGATTTGACATATTTCGCTTATTATCACCGGTGTTCTTTCGCTTTTTCCTTTCTTTTTTTTTTCACTCTTCTAATTATTTCATCAACGGTATGGAAAAATCCCTCAAATTATTTGAGTTAAAAATGATGTAAGGAATGAGTGAATTTTACTTATTACCTAATATATTACCTAATAGATTTCAATCTTCTAATAAGATTTTCAAAATAGATTTCATTCTTACTATTCTTACTATTTAATTATAATATCGCCAGAGGTAAAAGAGAAGAGAAATTGGCTTTAATGATGTTGAATAGAATAATTAAGAGATTAGATATAATTATTTTATTGTTCAATTATTTCAAAGGAGTAAGTGCTAGTAAGTGTTAATATCATTTCTAAATTTCTCTCTTGTCTTTTTTTTAATTTTTATTTTATTTCGATATTTTTCACATTAATAAATATGCTTTTAATTTTTATATGCGTATTTCATTTTCAGTAATAGTTTTTCTTTTCTTTCTTTTTAAATTTATACAACAAATAAATAATATTTGTTAAATAATTATATATGTATATTAGATAAGGTGAAAGTTAAAGGAAACATTCAAATAAATGATTTATTTTTGTAAACAATGTGGCAGAATTATAGACTTTAATAGTTTAGTAGCTCTTAAAAAAGGAGAAAGGCACGAATTTGTAGCTACAATCTGACGTTTCAGGCTTATTTAATGCTTTTAAAATTTGTTTCTTTTTTTCCTTTTGCATTATGGGACAACTGTAATGAAATTATAATGTTTTTCAAATAAATTCATTTAAAGCTTATTGATTATTGATTTGGGAAAAAAATTAATAAACATTAGTGCCAGCGATTATTTATTATTTTATCAATCTTCCGTATTATTTATCCAAATTTCTTCTTCAAATAACATTATTAGGCATAACAATCGATGCGTAAACCTTAAATATTTTTATTTTTCATTGTAAATTGAATGAATTAGTTGAAAAAATATCTGTTCTTTTTGCAGTACTATGTCAGATCTTCGAGAGTTTGTCAATCAGCAAAAAGCTAAAAATTCACTTTTTGGCACGACAACAACATCAGCATCATTTCAATCATTTAAAGCTATACGATCAAAGCTTACATCTGGTTTAAATGGATTCTCATTGATGAATTCATCATGTGATGATTCTGACCGAGAAATATTGACCGAATCAACTGGCGAAACAAATGGGCAGTTGCCACAATCACGAAATCGTAGAAGTGGTGGATGGTTTGGTTCTGTTCCCAATGAAGAATCCGTTTTTGGGTTTTTTTTTCTTTTTCTTTGTTAGAATAAATTCAAATATGCAATGTTGGGATTTTAATAGCTTTGAAATTTTTTGAACATTTAATTTAAATTTCACCTTAAAATCCAGATATTCTAATTAAATAGCAAAAGCTTTGTCTTGTTGAATTCACGGGTTATTCCTTTATATCATTTGTATTTAAAAAAGTTTAACACTATTAATGGAAAACTCATTTGTGTAACCTTCATTAAAAAGTTTTGTCTGCTGAAGCTGACTGCTGTAAAATCTTTATAATATATAAAATAGAAGTTATTTTAAATGAAGAATGTCATTGTTGCAGGATGTCGAAGATGCAGAGAATTGTCGCATTTTTTATGTCAATAGGAGCAGCCTTTGTTTGCTTCGGAATAGTAAGTAAAATGGCATATTTCAATTTGTGTTAGATTTCCAATAGATTTCTAAAGACGAAATGATTAAGTATCATATTTATGGTCATACTAATATTTTTGATTACAGTGCGTTCATCCTAATTTCAATATGATGTAAGAGAATATTTCAGCATATTTCAAGCAAAGCAAATTTGAATTCCTGATTTTAATTATGCTCTTTAACACGTAAATGTATTGTGAACATGAGGAATGGAAAATGGTTAAGCAGGTGTAAATTATAAAAGTAAGTTAAAAGTGTTTAAAAGCATTTATTTCATATAAAAACATTTCTAGGCTGTCATTTTGCTACCTGCTGTAATTGTACAAGCTCGAAAATTTGCAGTCTTGAATACATTTGGTTCGGTCATGTTGATTTTGAGGTTTGTTAATTTACTTAATTCGTGTTTTTCATTTTTTCTTTAAATTTTTATTTTTCTTGCCAAACTAATGTAGTTATATCTTCCAGTCAAATATTTTGAGGTAAATAGAATAATATACAGTGATATAAATATTATATTAGTAATGTTGCGATATGTTGTAAAAAAATTCTTCTGTTCTCCTCGTTCTTTTTTTTTGCTTATGCTTTCGTTATTAGAAATATTTTAATTTATTTTTATATTTGAAACATTTGAAGAAATTGTAACAAATTACATTGCCACAAATTACAAGATTCGACTGGTCTAATTAAAAAATTTAATCCAATTTAAAAAGGTTCAAAATTTTTATCAACATTCTTTTGTAAAACTAAAAATGAAAAAGATTATTGTTACTGAGATAAATAAAAATTAATTCTGTCTGCCTCTTTTTTTTGGACAAATGGATCAAATGATGATATAAATTTTGAATATTTTTCTTAGTTTTGGTTTTCTTTGGGGACCAGTGAGCTATTTCAAACATATGTTCTCGGAACAGCGAAGGCATGTTACGGCAGCATATCTAACAACCGTTGTGGCGACATTGTATTTCAGTTTATGGGTATGTTTGTATTTTTTTTAAAATTATCATTAGCCTTGTATATATGTATTTTGTGTTTTTATTTTATATATCATATTGGTGATAGGATCTATAAAGGCTATCTTAGGGTCATATTATTATCGAAAAAATAATGGTAGGATTAAGGGCCCAATAAATAATTGTTGAACAAAATGGCTTACTTCCTAGCATGTTGATTGTTGCCTCAAAATTTATGCAATATATTAATAATACATTAATGTTGAAATCTGATATTAATTTAACATAGGATTTCAAGCCTTAACTCTATGGCCCTTTCATCGAGTTTTTTTCTTATTCTTAATTGATGATAATAATAAAAGTGTGATTGTTAATGCTTTACTTCGGGCTAAAGAAGTGAACCTCGTAAAAAAAAATGATCTAGTTTCAACTAAATTACTTGTCATTTCTTAATTCTTCTCTTTACTGCAGAAAAACATTTTGGGGTCCTCAGGTAATCAATTAAATTTGTCTTGTAAGTCCACTTAAAGTGTTGAGTCTGTTTTATTCAAAACATAAGTTCGAAGTACCATCCAAAATGATGGTTCTAAACAAATAAAATCAAAAGGAAAAATAAACTCTATTGTATATACATATTTAGATTTTTTGTTTCATTAAGTATGTTTTGAAAAAGGGTAACTTTTGGAGATTTCTTAAAAGCTCTAACTTTTAATGTCATTCCATCTACTATTATATATTTTTTGATGCTGTAAAGATCACTGAGATTATGCGATATTTCTTTGTTCCATTCCTCGATACTTGAAACATCCGCCATTTTTATATTTGTTAGAAACAGTTTTGCAATTGTGCAGTTTCGTTTATTTCATCAAAGTTGTCATTGATTGTTATTTTCAAATTATCTGGGAATTATTCATTTTCAAATTGTCTACGAATTAGTCATTTTCAAATTATCTGGGAATTAATGAAGGAATTAGTCTGAAAGTGCCCAAAATATCACATAACTACTGGTTGATCTGCAGCATATATACTGAGGAAAAAAATTAAAACCATTATGTTTATCATAAAATTTAGCACAATATTAGGTGAAGGTAGATGAAAGAAGAGAAAACTTTTATACAATTAAATTTCACAATTAGGACTTCCATATTTAAAATTATTCTTTCTTTCACTTATTTTTTCTCTTATCTTGTTCCCTTTTCATTTCCACCTTCGTTTAATTTATTTTTGCGGCGATATTCCAAAAAAAAATTATCATCTATCAATTTTACTCGGTTTAATTCAGTTTTTTTTTATAGTTTGATCGAATTTTTCTGAACCGATAGAAGAAATAATCATCCTGAATTATCGAACATTTTTAACTTTTGACTAACATTATATCAAAGACTCTGGAATGCATTATTCATCCGTTATGAAAACATTGGGTGATTTTATCAGTAGTAGCTATTTGAAAGCCGAACTAAATGAAATTTCATTCTTTAGAAGTAGAAATTTATCGATAATTTCGATATGTATAAATGATATTAAATAACGATGTGTAACAGATTCATTTTACAAATGATTAAATTAATTTTTTCTTTTTTAATAATCTTTTTTAATGTTATCACCAAACTGATTGAGTTTATTCCATTCAGATTTGAATATAACTTGATAAAAGATTAAACCATATTGATAAGAAGCTAAGTTGTCATCATCTTCACGAATTCTTCATAATTGATCTGGAAAATATTCCTAATACATTTTGCTAATATTAATTAATGAAAAATAGAAATGAAATTATTAGTTGTTTAGTAGATTAGCATTTGATGTAATAAATTACCAGTGCTATCAATCCATCTATCTGTTCTGTGATAGTCTTTCATCTTATAAAAACTCCACAATAAATCAAACCTGTCCATCTCCATCAATATCAACTTCAGCCATAATTTCATCTACTTCTTGATCACTGAATTGTTCGCCCATGTGAGTCATGAAATATCGAAATTCTTCAGCTGTAATATATCCATTACCATCGCGATCGAATACCCGAAATGCTTCTCTTATCATTTCGCTGTCATTTTCCTTCAAAAGAAAGAAAAAAATGGCTATACAAAATTCCAAGAAAAAAATTTTGTTGAAAACTTTTTTTAAAACACTAACAGCAATAATAATAATTATAATAATAACAATAGCAACAATGATAATAGTAATAAGAATAACAATAGTAATGATAATTTATGATAATACTAATAATAATTATTATTAATAATAATTAACATTAATAATAAGTAATAATGATTAATAATAACAATACTAACATTAGTAATAAGAATAATAATATTAATGAAAATTTATGATGATAATAATAATTATTAATAATAATTAACATTAATAATAATAATTAATAATAACTATTAATAATAATAATAACAATACTAACACTAATAATAATAATTAATAATAATGATAAATGGAAAACCATTCATATATGCTGTCCCTTTTAAAATAACATCTAAGAAAATTTAGAAAAATTCTCATGAGATGATAATTTTGAGAAAAATTTTTTCATCACTTTTATTATTTGGGAAGGATTAATTATTTGTAGTGTGGCAGGTAGATGGATGACAAACAAAATTGCATCAATTTTTTTTATTCTCCAGAAAAGCTGTCAGTTTCAGTTTTTTCTTTTTAATTCTTATAAAATCTTCACTAATTATTTCATCGATAAATTAAAGAAAGAGCAAAAATAAAAGAGGGGAAAAAATCAATATACAACGAATAATAGGTTGGGAAAGCAAAAATTGAAGTTTAAAAGCTTAAATAGAAATTTCTCATAATTTCAATTAATTTTCTTGCATAATTTAAATTCTCTTTTTATATCTTTTAAATTTCCTCATTTCATTGATAACATTGTACATTCCATCCAATCCATCCATCCAGCAATCATCATCTATCAATAACAATTATCAAAACTGATGGGAAAATTGTTGATAGCTAACTAACCTTACTCATTCGTTTCATCATATGGCAGAATTCTGGAAAATCAATAGTACCACTACCATCAATATCTACTTCATTGACCATATCTAGTAATTCTTGTTCTGTTGGATTTTGTCCAAGTGATCTCATTGCAACACCAAGTTCTTTTGATGATATTGATCCATTTCCGTCCTTCAAGCTCAGATAAATATCTTTGAACTTTTCCCTCTCATATTCTAAAGTAGTTTTAAGAACAATGGCATTTATTATACTACCTGCAAGATAGCATAGTTTATCGATCATCATCTATCTACATTACATATTCAGTGATGTATAAACTTGCATTTGCATGTGTAATATCTTTGATCAGAAATTCTGTTTATTTCCTATTATTATTAATTTTTTTTAAAATATTAAATATTACTAGAAATTAGTCATCTCTTGTGAGAATTGCAAGAAAAAAGTTTTTCCGATTTTTATTTTTCTTCCTTCGAAACTAAAGGGAATTCTTTGTGTTGTTGAAATGCATTAATAATTCTTAGTTGTTGATGAGAATGTCGGCTGAATGACGAATATAATTTTCCCTATTAATTATTCATCTTTCATTTAGTCACCTATTGCAAGCATATTTCAATCAGCTCTTGACATTTAGTACAGTGAAAACTTAATTGAGGAAGTAAGTAATTTTCGAATTGTTTTTGAGTTATAGGAATATAGAGATGACGTAATAGCTTATTTAAATTTAAATTTATTGCAACTATGGAATGATTAAACAAAAGTTATTATAATAACATTATATCAGTCGAAGAAATCACACAAACTTTATATTTAAAAACAATGGATAAAAGATGGAAAGTTAAAGCTTAGAATTTTAATTTTGGATATTTTTTATTTTAGGATAATATCATAATTTTTGGATATTTTTATTTTAGGATAATATCATAACTATTCCAATTTATCTATTCCA